GGGGGGGGGGGGGGGGGGGGGGGGGGGGGGGGGGGGGGGGGGGGGGGGGGGGGGGGGGGGGGGGGGGGGGGGGGGGGGGGGGGGGGGGGGGGGTGAAGAATAGGCCCCATTCTGGGGGCACATGGTTTTTACCAAGGACCTGATGAGTATCAATGTCGCCCGTTGCCGTTCCATTTCCGGGCGACCGGATACATCTCTATTGTAGAGTAGCCTTTAGCGAATGATTCGATTGAAGAAATGGAGTGGACGATTGTATTGAGTGGATTGAGTTTCACTTCAATTAGGATTATTTCAATCGCGTCGAAGCGCTTTTTTGTCTAAAGCGAGAAGATGCTGTTTTATAATTGAGACGATGAAAACAGTCTGCAGTGGGCTGGCGAAACTGTGGCGCCACGGCCTAAAGGTTTTGAACTACTGTTATGAAGAATCGCATTGTCTTTTTTGTTGTTCTTTTTTGCTAGATAATTAGTTGATTCAGTGTTGATATAATTTGTATTGATTTCATAATTGTAATGAATGTTGAAAGAGGTTGAAGTATCGACGGTTTCCAAGAACGAAAAAATTTAATAGAAAAATCTATTCCATTGAGAAATTCTGTAATAGTTTGCCCGGTTCTTCAATAGAATCTTATAGATAAAATTTAATAGAATTTTACCTTTCTATACAACTTATTCTATTAAAAATGAAGCTGAAACTAGCAGAAGATTCGATTGTCATTGGTTCTCATTCTTATAAGCATAACTAATAGTTTGAATTATCTGGCGATTTTGAAATTTATTGGGGATAGAGAGAATATATTTCCAAAGGTTGTACACAAATATTTTTTGTTTTTATTGATAACTTTTTTTGTTATAAACAAAAACAAGTGAGGTCTATCAAATTTTAGATTTGAATTTTAATTTCAATGTGAAGGTGCTGTAAAAACCCTTAAAATTTGAGAAAGTAAGGTCCATTCCCTTGATAAAGTTTGTGCATTTTTTTAAATTAATTTAAATAACAATTTTTTTGTTTCTCTCTAAATAATAAAAAAATGAGAGAAAAAATTCAAGTCATCCCTATATAGAGGGCTCCCATATAGGTCCTTATATAGGGGGGTTCCCATATAGGGTGGTTCCCCCTATATCGGGACCCCTCCCCCCCTATATAGGAATCTCATGAATTTTTTCTCTCATTGTTTTATTATTTAGAGAGAAACAAAAAAATTATTTCAATTAATTTTAAAACATGTACAAACTTTATCAAGGGATGGACGTTACTCTTTCAAATTTTAAGGGTTTTTGCAGCACCTCCACATTCAATTTAAAATTTAAATCTAAAAATTGATAGAACTTACTTGTTTTTGTTTATAACAAAAGAAGTTATCAATAAAAACAAAAAATATCTGTGTACAAACTCTAGAAATATATTGTCTCTATCCCCAATAAATTTCAAAATCCCCAGATAATTCTAACTATTAGCTATGCTTACAACAATGAGAACCACTGACAATCGAATCTTCTGCCAGCGATTCTTGTGCTCTGCTAGTTTCAGCTTCATACAAAAAAATTATGCCGAAGAATTTCTATAGCAATTATCCCAATGCAATGCATTGTATAGCAAGATCAAATTCTATTGATCATTAGAATCGGCGAAAAGTAGTAAATCGTCTCAAATATTCTAACAAATGCGCTAATATTTACGTTTTTTTCAGATCATCATGGGGATCCGGAAAAAATCATGATAAATAATCAAGAATAGTTCTATTTCGTGCTTTTTTAATTTTTAATTTTTTTTCACCTTTGGTGTAATTATTTCGTGAAAATTTTGATAACAATTTTAATGTTGATCAATTGAAAATTAAGAGATTATTTCTTGAATTACTGTTCATATTGTTGGGCTAATGTCGAAGCAATACGAAGCGTATGTCGTGCTCCACGTGAGGCAACAGAACTTGTGCTCAACTTCACACATATTTTTTTTCATGATAGTGAAAAAAAAAATTGAATCGAGCCCCCACGGCCCCCACATGACTCCAACGCGCGACTGGCTGTCAACAGCGGCTTGCAGCGGCTCGCGAAGCCATTCGCTTTTACCCATGCGGCGATCACCTTTCAGGAGGATAGTCTAACATACGGTGTTAACTTGAAGTGTCATTGTTTTCAAATTTTATTACACACAGTCTGGGAAATTAATAAATAATCATGGAGATTGACAAGAGATTGTTGAACGTATTAATCTTGAGTTTTGGATTTATGCTGGTGTTTACCGCGTTCCAAACAATGGGAAATATCGAGGTGAGTAATTTTCATTATTGTAAACATTCACACTGTTTAATTTTCGTATGTCAATTGCTGATTATTGGTCAATGTGTTGGTCTTTTTGACGTTTCTCCCCTCATGTCTGCGCAGACATGTGTCACACGTGTCATTGCAGTGAGCGGGCTATTTAAATTAGTGTAACAGAAACAATGAATGTCAGGTAGAAATTTAATCTGCACATATCACAAGGTCGACTGAAATGAACTCAGAAACTTTCCGGAATTACTCACAAAAGAACCTTTAGTTTGATTCTCTTGTTTACCTCATGAATTTATCAGGTATTCCGAGTAATGTAACAATGGCATTAAAATTTATTCAACAAAAAATGATGATGGAACGCCCTTTGGTTGCCGTACACGCTATCGTTGCAGTTCAATGTATCATCCGGCGCGTTATCGCTTTGTTATTGTAGAAACTGATGATTATTAAATTTATTGAGCGATCATACGAAAAAATCTTATCTAGTGGCAAGCACAAATAGACGGAAGAAATACTTTGAAATATAGATATTGCGTTATTGGACTAGATTTGATATTGATCCCAATTGATAAAATTATCTGCAACAATCAACCGAATTATTGAAGTAATTTCACGGATTTCCTCTGACGATTAGAATTGAATAGAGACATCAACTGAATATGATATATGATATTCAACACCCAGAAAATTAATTCACCTTAATATGATAATCAGCATGTCAGTCGGTTAGAATATTAACGGGATTAGTTTCACTAGGTGTGGCATTGCTGAAAATAAAAGTTTCTCTGCGACATCCCCGCAAAATATCTCTTTCACTATGGTATTGAAATAATAAAAATTCCAAAAACGGGAATTGCATTTTTTTCTCTATTTTCATGTCGAACCGGTTTCTTCAGAAACTCGTTGCAATTTTTATTCAATCCTGGATGGAGGATGCTCTCAAAATCTGTTCTCTCTCAAATACAATGTCTATAGCATACATCATAATATTCAAATTGTCTCATGAATAACCGCCTCGTGATAATACAAACGGCAGATGCGAAGTTCAATTCGAGCAAGGACGAACACACAGAAAAAAAATTAGTTTTGCCAAATATTCATTTACTTGAGAGACGTATTTATTTTTTCAATACCGTATTTCTCCAGTCGCGTCATTCCCAGGCATTCCTGATTAGGTTTCAATTATGTCAATTATATTGCTCTAGAAGATGATGATGTTAGACTGACTCATCCAGTAATTATAAACATTAAAAAATTAATCGACATTCTTCCTTCTAGAAAATCAGAAATTTAGAAAAAATAAATAATCATTAGAGGAGTTCATCCACGGTCATGCGCAACATAGTCAACCTCTAGAGCAACATGATTGTAATAATTGAAAACTAATCAGGCTCGTCTGGGCATGACTCGATTGAAAAAATACGATTTTGAAAAATAAATGTTTCTCTCAAGTAAATGAATATTTGGCAAAAAAATTTTTTTTCTCATTGAATCCAACCGGAGGACTTGACAGCTCCGATTCCTCAAAGTGTATGGATTCCTATAAATAAATAGAAGCGATCAAGAGACGCATGAAATTGACTGTAAAATTTCCACAACCAGCGTGAAAGAACTTGGTATTCACTAACCGAAGTGAAAGTACAAAATGAGAAGTCGAGCCCCCAGACAGTTGGACGAATCGCGTCCACTGTGTCCTATTCCAATGCGTCAAATAGAAAAAAAAATCATGACAGATGTCGTAACATTTATTATCGCACACAAGTCAGCAATTTTCTCTAAACTCTTTCTCTTTCAATTACCTAATAGAGTAGAGGCTCATATAAGATACCTTAGGGACAGTAGGAGAGTGGAATTCCGGTAACCCCTATGCCCCCACTACGCGCGCTCATAGAGAGGAGATAAATAGAGATCAGCGGGTTTCAAATAAGATAACTCGCTCGTTGCGCCCGAATTCAATTAAATTTTCATTTTTACTGAATGAATATCGATAACTAATCAATGTATATGTGTTTAATGTTTTGAATTTGTATCGCCCGCGTTCCCTTTTCTCTTTAAACATAACCCCGCATGATAGAATGGCAGCTGATCTTGGGGGATTGTTGGTGGACTCGAGAATCATCACAGACGAAAAATTACGATTTTTCGATGGGAAAAGTGAAAAAAAATCGATGTATATTTCCATTACTTGAAAAAAGTTGTGTGAGGTCATTGGCCCCTCATATGATGACTTCGTTCGTCCCTCCCGTTTGACCCTTAACACCATTCGATCCTTATAATTACTCTCTTCCCGTTGAAAAATGACCGGGGCCATAGGTATCTTATAAGAAGCCCACGGAACATGAACATTCGGGAGGTGATAAAAGTGCCGAGAGTGGGGGTAGGCCTCGAACGCTCGGAGCACGAGGTATCTTGTAGAGAGGTATCTTATACGAAGCCTTTTCTTTCAGAAAACCATTCTGGACAGCATAGCCAAGGACGACGACTCATTTCACGGCAACGCCTACACAAGTTTAGCGATAATCTATGCAGCATTGGCAATCTGCAATTGGCTAGCCCCATCCTTCATCTCAATGACGGGTCCTAGAATAGCCATTTTCGTAGGTTCCTGCTGTTACGCATTCTTCATAGCAACATTCCTCCTTCCAAGCTCAGGCTTGCTCTACACAGCCTCGGCAATTCTCGGTTTCGGAGGATCTCTAGTCTGGACTGGACACGGTCAGTATCTCACCGAGAACAGCGACTCGGAAACCATGTCCAGGAACTCTGGCCTCTTCTGGGCGGTCTTTCAGTCGTCCATGTTCACTGGAAATTTATTCGTGTATTTCATGTTCACGGACCCGGAGATTGACGGTCCAACGAGGAAGATCGTCTTCTGGGTCCTGACCAGCCTCGCAATTGTTGGAGTTGCTGTGTTAGCGATTCTCCGTAAGCCTCCACAGAGGCTGTCCCTTGGAGAGGCAGAAGGTGTCTCCAGTCATGACAAAGAACTGGCAATGCCGGAGCCTCGACGTCAAGCCGGCTGTGCTGCAGCTTGGAGTGCATTCAGAGACGCTTTGAGTCTGTGCATCACTCCGAAAATGCTTCTCCTGTCATTGACATTTATCTACACTGGTGTGGGATTGACGTTCTTCTCAGGCATTTATTCATCAAGCATTGGTTTCACCGAGGCCATGGGTGAGAAACGGAAGAGCCTCGTTGGCCTCTCTGGAATTTGCATTGGAGTGGGAGAGGTTCTTGGTGGTGCAATCTTTGGAATGCTGGCGTCAAGGGGTCCAAGTACTCTTGGAAAATGCACAGGATGGCCAGTGGTGGTGATTGGATTTTTTGTTACTCTATTCGCCTACATATCTGCATTTATCAACCTACCCAACACTTCGCCATTCAAGGATACTAATGACGAAGCGTACATCGTACCCTCACCAATACTGGCGATGGCGGGCAGTTTGACGTTGGGATTCGGTGATGCTTGCTATAATACTCAGATTTACTCACTACTTGGGGTGGTTTATGCTAAAGACAGTGCTCCAGCTTTCGCGTTGTTCAAGTTTACTCAGTCGGTGGCTGCGGCCATCAGTTTTGTATATAGTAATCATGTGGGTTTGCATGGACAACTGTCTATTCTCCTGGTATCCATGATACTTGGGACTCTAGCTTTTGTTTATATCGAAAGATGCCACTCGAGAAGGAAACTCGAAGCTGCAGAGGGCGAACCCAGATTAGCAGAGAGCGTCAGTGTTGAGGAGTGAGTGATACTCGTCAGTTATCATTGCAATTGTAATAGAGACTGTGAGTTCGTATTGGAAATTCGAGCATTCTAGGTGGTCTGCTGGAATGGAGTGGTAATGAGATAAGTGGGATTTATCTATCAATTTTTTCGCATCTTCTCAAGAGCCACTTTGGGAAGAGTGGATTTTATCTTCTTACTTCATTCCATTCTTCATTTGCCTGTTTTTCTCTTGACACCGTTATTGCCAATAATGTGGACTTATGACATTTTTGACGATAATGTTGATTCATTTGACACAGTTCACCATGATGACCAAAGCCACTAATCAAACTGTGTCAGGAGATTCTATAATGCAATTCGATGAAATACGAAAATGTGCAATCGCGACAGACCATTCCAATCTCCTGAGATTGTACTTCCCCGAAAATGATCAATTAATTGTAAATAAAGTGAATTAAATTTCGAAATGATAACGATAGCGTACCTGAAAACAAAACGCTTGAATGGATTTTAAGAATACTTTTTAGTATTTACACACATTTCATATCTCTTTATCCCATCTATTCGCATGGTTCAATTTTATTGCGATCTTCTTTTCAGCCCCACACTTCTTATCAATTCATATCATTGTGATTTTATCTACACCCGAAAATTCTGATTAACTAATTGTACAAATTTATATTTCTCGTAATGACGACATGAATATTGTTGATGATATTGTTGAATAAAGTATGAAATATTTGTGTATAAAATCTCCTCATGTTTATTAATAAGCCTTTTAGTAAAACTGATTATTGCAGACCTTTAAATGCCATCAGGTAATATATTAAATCCTACATACATATTCTAGCCTCGTGTGAGGCTTAAATAGCTCAAATAGAAAGTAAATTTTTATATGAGTGGCGCAATGACATAACAGCACTTCAAAAAAACCCGCCCAAGTTCCTCACCGCTGTCATCTCTCAACGGTCATTAGAACTATCGTTGAACTGTCGGTAAGACAGATTCGATGCCAGATCTTTTAGCACACGGAACAATTTGCTAAATGTCTTTTGTTCCAGTGAACATCAGGTTCGTATGAATTTGCTAGGACTAGGATATGAGATATTTACATTTCTTTTCCCAAAAATTGTTGTATGAAAAGATTGAATTGCAATAAATTTTTTATTTGTCTCCCGTAAACTCATTAATTAATTAGACAATTGAAAAAAATTACTTTCTGCATTATGTCAACACCATGCAACACAACGGGCCCCACCATCAGCTACTTGCAGCTACTATCCCCCACTCGTCATCGCAAAGAGGCGTCATCGAGTGCAACTGTGCGATCCTAATGCCACCTATAACATCGTCCAGCGCGATTTTCTGTCTCATGTCTAGTCTACGGATTTACGGAATTCGGCCTCCTTCCTCTATTCTTCATGGTTTCAGTCAAAACAAATAGGGGATGATTATCATTGATATTCATCGCTCATCAGAGTGCATCACCTACTAAAAACATTACCTCGGATTGATCGCTGGCGGGGGAGGCAACTGCAACACTCCCAATCGTTCAATAACTCCAGACGATTAACAATTAGGGGTCCACCTGATAGACTCAAAAGGCACTAGACTCGAGACAGTTTACCTGCGGCGTCGTTGATTTTATCGGAATTGCAGTTGTAGTGCTTCACACATGAGCTCTGAAATGCGTTTTCCATCGGTGTCTAATAAAAGTAACAAATCTGTATTAATAACTCTCGATAATAATATCCACTCCCCAATATTAAATCGAGATATGACTCTCGATTTGATAGCAAGTATGGAGGATACTGGCTGCATTGTGCAGCGATAAAATACTTGTGATTACACACACGTGAGTTGGATGGAGGAAGTAAAAAAACCTCCGATGGATCTTGAGACGCCCGTTTCGCTGGGAATAGTATTTTGATTAAAGATGGAGGAAAGTGGTAACGACAAGTTCCTTTTGAGAAGACGCGCGGTTACACTGAAACCACTTAAGGTCAAAGATGAGCGTGTTGCTACATTGAAAAAGGTAAGTCTTGTCTTTTTTGCTTACTCCTATGGGGGAGGGGAAATTACGAAAATGTAAACAATGAGTGTTTTTGTTTGTTTTACTAGGTTGCTGCCATACTGAATAAATCAGAGGTGGACAGAACTGCTGAGGAAACAGAATTGTTGTCTTCCTGTGGTGATGTTGTCAAAGAGGTTAATCTCAGGTATGTCCCGAAACTTCAATCACAACCAACAAAACTTCATCGTGTGGCGTGTGCACTTATTCTTAAAGAAGGAGAGTTAAAAGAGTCATCAAGGCGATTAAGGCTCGGGTGGATTATCTTTCGAATGTGATCTTGGTTGTTCTGTTTATTTTGATAATTTGAAATGATCTCCAAGTGCTATTCAGTTTTACATAGCCCTGGAGTCCCCAAAAATTATGGTTGTACAATCAAAAGAACGTTGGAAAAAGCTGAACATTTACAAAAAGCGTTTTTGAATAGTATTGGGAACTAAACTCAATAGGGAGGAAATTGCAAATTAATAATTTGATGTATCTTATAGCTGTTGGGTCGTTAGATACCATGATAAATTATCCATTCTCAATTTCCTCTCTATCGGACTTATTTCTTAATCTTTATTGAAAACGCTGTTTGAAAATGTTCATTTTTTTCTACTTTTTTTGATGGTACAATCATAATTTTTAACAAGTCCTGCGTGATGTAGAATCCAATGGAAATTGGGATATATTTTAGATGAAGATGGAAAAACAATCGAGATAGCATTCGAAAGATAATCCACCCGGGCCTTAAAAGCATAATTTTATATGGAATTATTAGGTTCAGTTGATTATATTGATCTTAGTTTAATCAGTGTTCGATTATTGAAAAGACAATCGTCAATTCTTCCCTAAACATACCTAAATGAGCGAACTCGCCGTCAGCTCATACCGAGGAAATTTGGTATAGTCTTCGAGTTCAATAGCAATTTACTCAAGGATACCTCCCTCGTCAGAATCATAATTTTTTGAACAAAAAAGAAAAAAAAGTAAACTATTTTCACATTGTAGACAAGAGAAAAGGGACAAAGTGAAAGCAAGACTGGAGGAGATTGAGGACCCCCCAGAGCTCCTCGAGGAAAAATGTATGAGACTGGCAGGGGCAATAAGTCGTGCATCTTCCCTGGCTGTTTACACTGGCGCCGGAATAAGTACAGCAGCATCAATCCCGGATTACAGGGGGACAAACGGTGTCTGGACGCGAATGCAGCAGGGAAAAGACATAGGGTAAATTCCACAAACCAAACAAATCTACAACACGTATAAAATTGCTCCCATAACAATCAACTAACACGATGAATAATTAAAATCTTGCAGAAATCATGATCTCAGCTTAGCGGAGCCGACAGTCACGCACATGGCACTATACGCCCTGTACAAGGCTCGTGTACTCAAGCACATTGTATCCCAGAATTGCGATGGTCTTCATCTACGCAGTGGCATTCCACGTTCATTTTTATCCGAAGTGCATGGAAATATGTATGTGGAAGTTTGCCGAGCGTGTAAACCATTTCGCGAGTACCTACGCTTATTCGATGTGACTGAAAGAACAGCCAGATACTCACACGGAACTGGTAGACACTGTCACAAGTGTAACTCCATTCTACAGGACTCAATAGTTCACTTTGGTGAACGTGGCAATTTGCCTTGGCCAATAAATTGGAATGGTGCATGTCGTGCCTCGAAACAGGCTGATGTTATACTGTGTCTTGGCTCGAGTCTGAAAGTCCTGAAGAAATATCCGTGGCTGTGGCAGATGGACCGACCTGTCCAAAAACGTTGCTCCCTGTACATAGTTAATCTCCAGTGGACACCGAAAGATGAAAATGCAACGTTGAAGATAAACGGTAGATGCGACGAAGTTATGAAAAGAGTAATGAGCCATTTAGGTTTAGATATTCCAGATTATAATAGATCCAAGGATCCGATATTTTATCACGCTATAAGACTGCAAATTAGTGAACAATCAACAACATCACAGCCTTGTCTTGAGGAGCCTGTATTAATCACAAATGATGATGAGAAGAGTGAGAATGAGAGTAACGGTATTATACCAAAAAAGGACAATGAAGACTGCGTATCACAGATTAATATGAGTGAGCCATTGAGCGCCTACTCGGCACCATTCTTCACAGCATTACCCTTCCTATCTATGGGCTTACCATTTCCACCCATGTTCTTCTATCCACAATTGACATCGCTACTTTATTATCCATTGCTTCAAGTACCACCGATCAAACAGGAGGAGATTATTCAGCCAAAAGCCACGCCAGCTTGCAAATTTTGCATGGAGAATGAGCAATCACAGAATTGTTTGTTCTATCAAACTAATGGCGAAGATTCTCTTGTAATGGATCAGCCTGTTGACACGGTCGAGCCAACTATTATCGACAATGACAATGAGAATAATATAGAAGTGGTGACAGAGTCCGAGGATGCTTCCAGAGCTACTGCCAAGAATCCTGGCTGGTTTGGCAAGGGTTATCGCAAGGGATTTAAGAAGAAACGGTAGCACCCATTAACCCAAATCATCAAACCCACGAGATTGATATTAATCGATGGACAGAATGAATAAGTAGAAATACCAGTATCAATGTAATCTCTATGATCAAAAGACTCTATGAAATATTATTTTACATATTTCAGCAACATTCGATATGCTGCATTTTTTCAATTGTTGATTTAGAGGAGAGTGGGGCAAAATGAAATAGTCGAAAATACGACTGTTTGATGCAATTCGAGCGAAGAAAAATTTTTTTTATCAACTTTTTTATTATTGGGAGTACTGATTAGAATAACAATTTTCCATTCAGTAGAATGGAAAATTATTGAGATATTTTGACGGGAGAAGATTTTGTCAGTGGATTAAATTGAAAAGAAAATGAAACAACATAATCCAAAGTCCAGAGGAAGGTCCAGGGGGAGACTCAGATTGGAAAAAAGGAAAATGTGTAATCTGCCTAATCTAATCAATTGAATTGTAACCAATTGAATTATAAGACGAATAAAACATTATTCTCATCAGGACTCCCAATAATAAAAAAAAGTTAGTAAACAAAAGTAAATAAAAAACAATTTTTTTGCCGGAATTGTATCAGTCGTTTTATGGCCGTTTCATTTTGCCCCACCCTCCCCTATCAATTATTATTTCAAAAAGTATTAACTCGACAATTATTTATTTGTAATAGAAAACGACCTGCAGTAAATTTTTTAATTAACATTTTACCCATTATTTTAACTGTCGGCAAATTTTAAATGTGAGATTAAACGTATTATTCTTCTTCCTTGAGAAAAAGAAATATTAAAATTAAAGAGCTAAAAGGAAAATCAGGCAATTTGTCTCGTTCAACCCGTCCTAGTCGTTTGTCATCGATAAAACCTGAGGGGTGAGTGGACACAGGTGAGATCCAATCGCAATGAAGCCTGGATCGTAATAGTCACCATTGTCGTCACCCTTTAGGCAAATTCCACCTGGATCAATTTATTCGACAGGCGCCCCGAACACAAAATCCGTCGCCCCGAACAACGTTTTCATACGCAATGGCGCATACGTGGGCTAGATATAGACGGTGTAAAAGTGAGTGGGTTGTCACGGGACCGGCGAGGTAACCCCCAGTTGTGTGCTAGGGGTACAATCGATATTCCGCGGAGGCTCTGAGCCCCAGTGGGGTGAGTGGAAGTGAGGTGGATAGATTGGCAAAACCGCTGGAATGAGTGAGACAGATGGGGGTGTGGGTGTAGAGCGGGAGGACCTGGTTGGCAAAAGCGGAGCGAGCGAAACGCTGCGGCATAGTCTGGTGTTTCCCTCGAAGAAAAATATGGAGAAAGAGAGGGACTGAGTCCCGTGGTTTTATTGGGACGCGTACGTGAGCCAATTTTTTTTACGTTACTTTTAATGGCGAGTGGAAACTGCAACATATTGGGGTGAATCGAATTGTGTGGGCTGTTATTAATTCGGAATTTTATAGTAGAGGGTATGTATTTTTCGTGGATTACAGTGTGAGTTCGTAGGTGGTGGTGGATTCGTGTTAGCTGGTAGCATCGGTTGCTCGTTCCAACGTGCAAGCTCTTCCCCGGATGTTCACCAGTAGCGCTGCATCCGCAAGGCCGGCGGTCCTCGTGTTGCTGGGATTACAGTGAAACTGTGTTCGGTGAGTTTTCCATGCACTTGTGAGAGAAGGAAAGGGCGGAGGGGAGCGGAGTGGATTTGAAAGTAGCAGTAGCTGTGTTGTAGTTGAACAGCAATGGGGGTAGAACGAGGGAAAACTAGCGGAGCGGGTATTTCCACGGCGACACATAGCCTGGCAGAGGATAGTGGGAGGGAATTATGGGAGAGAAGAAAAGCCGCGGTCTGTTGCCATGGTGATACCCCTAAACTGTGCATAGGATCTGGTGAAGTCAGAAAGGGGGATAGCAAGGAATGAGAGGAAGGGAGGGAGGGAGGGAGTGAGTAAGAGCGTTTTATGGGGGTTACTGTCTTCTTCAACCTATCCACCGGGTGTACCATGGCTCCCAAGCTGTTGATACTTGACTGCGAAACGTGTGCGCACAAGGGAGGCAAATGCTCGTGGGGTATCAGGAGCTCACAAAGACCTCGGGAGACTTTTACTCGAGACAACTGTCGACAGTCAACAAGGACAACTCATTCGAGAGGAAAGGGGGAGAAGAGTGTCTGTCCTTACACCTGGAGGTTTTTATTTTCAAAGGGGGGCTTCAAGTCCTTCATAATTATTTGCTTCTTTTTTCCTTCAAGGATGTTGTGTGGTTTGTAAGTCTTTCTTTTTTCTTTGTCGTTGTTTTTTCAACTTTGTTTGGACGTACAAAATGTATCCCCTTTGCACTTGATTCCTCTTTCCTCATTTTTTTTAATGAGGATATGTGGCAAAGAAGCCTTCCAATTAACGCCTCATTATGTATTCAAAGTTGTTAAGTTACTCGTCGAGTAAACACACGTATATTAGCACACATGGAGAGTGTTATCATTGTGGCTAGGCTTTGAACTCGGCCCTTTCTCCTCCTCCCCATCGACATTGGAAAAAGTCAACGGAGTAAAATAGGATTAAACAATTGGTGTCTATCGGAAGGGTTGAACGAAGTGCATTTGAGTAGCACAACACATCACCGGTTTAACTGGCATCACAATAGCCTCTGCCTCAGTGGTTTGTACACACACACACTGGTCAGCACTAAGTGCTAAACAACATATTTTTTTACTTCTGCTGCTCACACTCAGCGCCAGTGACCGGGTACAAGCTTAATACTAAACTGGACCCCAACCGTAATTGATGTTAATTAGAGCCATTGTACTAAAGCCCCGGCGTCCAATCAGCCAGACTAACGCCGAGTGCTATACACATTCATTTCAGCATGGTCTTGGGGACATGGGGGATTTATTTTGCAAATTATCATTTTCCTAAAATATTATTTTTTCCTAAAATATTTTCTCCTAAATATTCATTTACTTGAGAGAAGCATTTATTTTTTCAAAATCATATTTGTCCAATCGAGTCATTCCCAGACGAGCCTGATTAGTTTTCAATTATTACAATCATGTTGCTCTAGAGGTTGACTATGTTGCACATGACCTTGGATGAACTCCTATGATTATTCATTTTTCCTAAATTTCTTATTTTCTGGAGGGAAGAATTTCGATTAATTTTTTAATATTGATAATTGTTGAGGGAATTCACTCAAAGTCATAACTAATACGATCATCTTTTAGAGCAATATAATTATCATAATTGAAACCTAATGAGGATTGCCTGGAAATAACTCGACTGGAGAAATACGCTATTGAAACAATAAATACTTCTCTCAAGTAAATGAATATTTGGAAAAAATAATTTCTTTAAATCTGGGCAAATTAAATTGAATTTTTATCATTGGCCTGTTTTTTATTCGTTTGGAAGTCTTACTCGCCAAGTTTTTTTGTGACTTTATCCAGTATATTGACACCGGTTTCTAGTCCTTATCTAATCGTTCCCCTATATTTGTCTCGCGGCACTATCTCGTTTAAACGCAACGCCGTGAGGGAGGAGGGGGCTCCAAATATACACATCAGGAGGGGGTTGGTGGTATGTTACACACCAAAGTCACCTTCGTGCCCGGAATTGAGTAATAAATATAAGTCATCCCATGTATGGCGGATAAAAGAATCTTTTAACTCGTTTCTACGAAAATCACGGACAATCTAACAAAGTAATAAGTGGTGACCGGTGATACTCAAGGTCTATAATTTTCCGGTTATTCCGTCAGGAATTAATGGCAATGCTAGGAAGGAAAAAACTTCATGGTTATTTTCCCATTTTGCTGTGATTATTGTTGAATTAACTCGGGTGGAAAAATATATTCAATCGATATTCATCTGTTTGCGACCGCATTTGCATCGTAACATGATACCATTCATTATTTTTTCCCTTGATCACCGACATAGAGAAGAGCATAAAAAAAAGTTCAAAGCAGTAGAGAACTTGACAACATCATATGTAAACCAGCTCTTCTACTCCATAAACTTTAAAAATAATGGAGTTATCCTTTTCAGAAATGAAGTGTACGATAGAACAATAAGTTCAAAATTTTCCCTAGACGAAGGAAAATTTCTAATATTCATAACTTCATTTATCTGTTTAATGCGAGTGATTTTCCATCGTTCATTGCTCCAACATTTTTACGATTCAAAAGAGGACAGAAATAAAAACCGTTATACACAGTTAAAATCCTAAAAACATCATAAACGATTCTTTCGCTGCATAAAATCTGAAAGGGAATTCATACACTTCGAAATAAGGTTCAAGGTTGAAATTTTGTTTAGAGCTTTCTGAAGGTAGAATAAAATGCTAATACTCACACACTCACGAAGCATGAGAAAACTTGAAATTTGTAAATGGATGCTGTTTTCCAGTTGAAAAACATATTAAAAAAGATATTTGATTCATTTCACGTTGAAACATTTACATTATCAATTGCTCCAATGATTTTGTTACTCTCCGATGTAAAGGGGCAACTGGAAAAGTTTTGAAACCATCAACAATCCGAAAATATCATAAACGATTTTTTCAGTTTCATAACATTCGACAGGCTTGTTCTAATCAACGTTTAAGGTAGAAAATTTTCTTTTAAACTTTCTCAAGATTGAAAGGAATATTCAAATATTCACATATCCATGAAGCGTAAAAAATTGAAATGTTCAAGTGTATGTGGTTTCTCTATATAGAAAAATATTCTTGAAAATATTTTCAATTGATTTCATGTGAGTATACCTCTATCGTTAAGCGCTCCAACAATTTTTCTGCTTTCCAAAGTTAAGAAGAGGACAAAAAAACAAGCAGCGCGACAGAAGCCATTTGACAGATTACATATGACTGCTACTCTTCACGTACTTTTTTTCTCCTATTTTCATTTCTAACAATTTCATTGGTGGGCTTCCGAATGGATCCCAATGTATTTTCAAAAAATGAAGGTATAATATGTTACATAGCTTTCTCAGTTATCCTGATGTGAAAATGAACGGTGAAATATCAATGGGTCAATTTTTTTTTCTCACGAATTTTGGGTGAATTGTTCCATCTCAAGAACTATCAAATATATCGACCTAAAATTTGATATAGGAATTTTCCTTGACAATCCCAACTAGAAGCCAAACTTTCAAAAGGTTTCCCTGACTTTTACCCATGTCATAATGCGCAAAAGTGAATTCCGACCAAAAACATACAAAAACTACGACATCTCGAAAAATTTCAATGGGATGGTATCCACATTTTGTTGGATCTAGATAGATAATATCAAAATGCACATTTTGAAAAAAAAAATTAAATCGGACCAATAGTTCTTGAGATATTGAGCAAAAGAGTTTCACATACAAAGTTGAATATCTTCAAAACTACTGGTCCGATTTCGTTCGTCCAGAATCCCAAACATTGTTGCTATAAAACCTAAAATTCTGCCAAGTTTCAAATTTCTATTTCGATTATTTTTTAAGTTATCGAGCGAACCAGAAATTTCAGCGAAAAAATGAAAAAACGAGAATAAAACTACAAGGTTCAGGGTGTAAGGGTTTTTTTCAATCCAATTAAATCGATATCATCATGACAATGATTTTGAAAGAAAAATCGAAGCGGTCGAATGGTTCAGGAGAAATCGACAAAAAACGATTTTCGAAGAATTGCTATATCTCAGGAACCGCTCAACCGATGGAGCTGAAATTTAGCACAAATTTGAGTCTCAGTAGTATCAATTAGCATCCAGAATTTTACCATCTTGGCCTTAATAATTCTCGAGTTATGGGGACAGTTCTGGACATACGAACACACATGTACACACACATCCAGACATCCAGTTTTATAACATTTTTAGGCCTTTCAATTACCAAAAATTAAAAAACCGAAAAAAATCACGATTACAAAGCTTCCCTTCGGAAGCAAATTGTTAAAAATAATCTGAAACCTGAAACACCATAAACGATTTTTTCTGCTACCTATGATTTGAAAAGGAAATCATAATTTTTGGACACAAGTTCAAGGTCGAAAATTCAGTTCTGAACTTTCTCAAGTTGAAAAAAATTTCGTACATTCACTTATCCATGAAGCATGAAAAAATGAAATTTAGAAGTGCAAAAAATCATTCGATTGATTTCATGTAGATGCATCTGCACCGTCAAACGTTTCAACAATTTTCCCTCCTTCATAGCAAAGAAGAGGATAAAAAAAATCTTCAAAGCCTGAAAATATGAATGATTTTTTCTGCTCCATAAACTTTGAAAATAAATTCAACTCTCTAGAAATAAAGTTTTTGAGCGTAGAAAGTGAGTTGCGAACTTTCCAAAGCCGGAAAAATTTCGGATATTCCCATCTCCATAACGGGTAACAAAACTTAAAATTTACAAGTGCACGCATTCTTTTTTACCACTGATAAAATAGTTGCTGTACAGTTTCTTTGTGCTTCGCGCGTGGTGGAAGAAGCCGGTGGTTACGGTTGATAGTAGTAGAGAAGTATTTTACACGGTGTGGAGGTTGTGGAGGGAGTTGTACGCATGGTGGCCGGGGGGACAATGGACCCGCCCGGGCGCTCTGGCGGAGGTTCGTTGCACTAAGAACCAGTAGTAGTGCTCAGGCGACCGTGCGGAACTCTGTCTATCTTACGTTGTGCACCTTTACGCGTCGACGTGTGCCATTTGGCTGTTTAAAAATTCCGTAGTAACGCGATTAAATCGCCCGGAATTATCTACAATAAAATATTTTAAAATGGAGCACTGTGTTTTACCTTGGTTTATGGATATTTGAGGTTCAGTGATTGAAATTTAAAAAAATATATTATTCTTCTATTTTTTTTTCATTTGAACTGTGCATCGGCGTCCTGCAGTTCCGGCGTCCTGTTGTGTCGTCGTCGAAGCATGGCGCGCGGAACTCGTATCATATTTTATAACATTATCGCAATACAACGCAGGTGATAGTTTGACAATTACCGCGAAGAGTTTATCTGGAGTGAAGTGGAATAAGATAAATATCCGTTTGAAACAAAGGGAGTGAGGTTTCTTCATGTTAAGAATGTAACTATCTCTGAGCCTAACACTCACAGTTAAATGAAAATTGTTGTATTGAAGCAGTTGAAAATTTCAAAATTGAAGGAGCACCTCGACCAACGATTTTCGAAAGAAGCCTTCGCAGTAAACGAATTGTTCACAATTGTTTACCTCCGAAGTTCGATGATCATTGAAGCCGTGCAATGTCAATTGCCTAACGGTATTGGAAATTTCCCCGGCTGTCTCAATACAAAAACATTCGGAATTGAATAGTTCTGCAGCGAATTCAATTGAAAGTCTTCTGATGAATATATCCTCTCATTCCACTTGATTACAGATTTGTATTGTTGAAATTTTGCTATGCTATTTATTCGATACAAACGTCATATTGTTGAATCAACGTGAGCTGTTTTTACGCCGCCACGCCGCCAATTTGTGCGGAGATAACCAGGCGGCGAAATGAGGAGAATAAGTGGTAAGATACACCCTCTTTTTCTCCCTATTTTTACAACAATTCCGAATGATTCTAGAGGGATAATGAAGAGCCGGCAACCGTGAATATAACGACGCTCAATAATACTCACCCAGTGCAGTCGCAATTTATTCATATTTGACTGGGCTTAACGATCACAAGATACAAAATCTCCCTTCATTTATAATTCAAACAATATTTCATGTCAAGTGATAAGACGAAAGCCCCCGTGAGTCTGATGACACGAGCAATTACACTACATTACTCCGATATCCTCCCCTAAAACTCGCCTTAAAATTAAAACTGTATATTCCCGTATGATAAACAACGAGATCGTACGATACAAACTTGTTACAGCTCTACAACCATATTGTTGTCGATTGCACTGGAATCGAGTCACGCGATATATGCGGGCCTCCTTTATTCCAATTCCAACGTCTCTCTCACTTCAATTTTTTTTCCTCCATCCCAAATGGGTGGTGGGCCTGCATGCCGTCAAATTGAAACGCAGCTGTTACCGTAGAGTGTCTCGTTTTTGAACAGAATATCGCCTGACATCCATGTAATATTGTATTCAATATCGTTTCCGGGTTTCCGAGATCCTTGAAGCCTCACATATTTTCCCCCTACAATTAGATCTTGTACTGGCTACATCGTTTTAAGGGGAGACTACTATGAGTTTTGAAAGTCATGGAACATTGGAGTAAGATTTCTCATGCATTGAAGATCGATTATATATGCCTAAAAACGAATAATTAGTGCAAAAAAATTGATTGTTTATCGTTCGTTCGTTGAAAATAGTCCAGGGCCTCCAATTTTTGAGCTACAGAGGTTTTTTTTTTTTTTTTTTTTTTTTTTTTTTTTTTTTTATGCTTATTTTATATCGCTTCGAGTCTGATGAGACTATATGGCGATTGATCAAGACTTTAAAAATGGTTAGATCTCACCATTCTACCCGGCCAGGAATCGAACCTGGAACCTATCCGTTGTGAGGCAACGGCCTTAACCACTACGCCAGGCCACCGGGATAAGAGGTTTTTTTTAAAAAAATTTTTGAAAAAATGTGTACAATGACAATTACGAGTTAGTTTTTTGAAATTCGATTCCTACACTGTATGAGAAATAGCCCGCGACATTTAAAACTCATAGTAGGCTCCCCTTGACCACGGTTTCTGGGGAAATTTTGCGTTCTTCCCCATTCTTTTTTTTTCATGGGGGGTATCGTCTTGCGGGAGAGGTCAGTCGGTAGAAAAATAAGACGAACCGGAGTATCAGCTTACGAGTGAGTTTGAGGAGGCCATCGTAAAATCTTTGCTTCGATTTCCCCTCTAATCTCCTCCCCTCCTCCTGCTCCACCTATCCGGTCTCCTGTAACGAAGCGTAAAACGTACAGACCAATGCGAATCGTGCGGTTTTTCTCTTTTTCCCTTTTTATGTATGGATTATATGTATTCTGTATATTTCGTTAGTTTTTTTTCCTCACTCATTTTTTACGATCTCTCAGTTTTTGCATCCTCACGAGGAAGGCGAGGGGATTTAACAGGAAAAAAACACGATCTAGCAGTGATACTGCAATTGTGATGCTGGAGGGGGAGAAGAGTGGGTAGAAATTCGTGATTTTCAACTGCAAGATTCACTCCAGAAAGACTCGCTTTCATCGGGTGCTAATATATAGACGTGTACCAACGTTTATTTCATTGCGTCTCTCTAACACAGACTCTCACTCTGAGCTGCAGACATTGATGCCGGCCTCTGGGTTGCGTAAAAGAGACCCGTCGTAAATTAAACCAGATCCCAGGGCTTAACGACTCTGGAGACTAATTACAAAGTATTTACTGTGGCGCATCGAAATTTCATGGAGAAATGTTTTTCTTTTTTCATTTAATGTTTTTTTTAGACTTGAATTTTAGTTTTGTTGTCGGACAAATGTCGCTCTTTTTATTACTATTTTGCCTCGCTTTACTCCAGGATTTTTTCGTAGTCCTGCCACGAACGCTTGAAGGGGCTCGATCGACGAGTGCACTTGGACCGAGCCCAAACGAGCCAGAGAGTGCACCAAAAAGGATTCCAGACCTTTCTCTCCTCAAAGTTAAATCGATTTCTATGCGACGAAAATTGCCGACGTGTCGGCGGCATTATCGGTTTGACAAGTTTTCCCTCCACACGTATACTGTGATAAATTTACCCGTTTTATCGTTTGTTTATTTCATGGAAGTGTCCTTCGGTGGTACATTCGCTTTTTATTTTTTTTTCGGCTGAGGCAGTTACACTCTGGTGTCTGTTTATCTTGTGTATAAATTCAGTTCAACATATTGGGAATTCATGTCGTAAAATTGGTGCATAATCTGTTTTATAAACGAGTCCATGTGCAACAAGGTCGATTTTATCATGATATTAAATTTCGGTTCCACCATTGAGTCTGACGAAAAGCACCTGGAACTTCACCGTTACAGACACTTTACTGTTAGGAAATTCCTTCTGAAATTCAAAAAAAAAGAAGATCGAAATGTTCAACAATGCCTAATTTACATAAAATTTACATGTACATTGTTACTGACAGGTCACTCAATTTCTGGAATATTCAATGAAATTATAATTTGCAGGTCCATATGACCATGAAATTTAAAGAAAATTGTGGAAATTCAGGCAACTATTATTCTGAACTTTCAATTCATTGAAGATTCAATTGAATGCGATATTCAAACAACACAATTTCATACAATTTCCAAGATAAATAGAAAAATGCCGTGAACGATTCGATCTTAAATTGAATTCAAATTCATCACATTAAAAATCCCAAAATTGCAATATGTTTAAACCAAAAGCAGGGACCATTGTACTGATAGAATGATTCACTTATAGTTAACAAATTAATTCGGTTGAATGTTTCAAGGTTCACTTGTTAATATTTCATACGCAGCCCATTTGAAAAAAGGCGATGAGTATGAAAAACCACTATTTTTTTACCATTAACAAAAAGTTTCATTGCAATAACGTATGATTCGTTAATTATTAATAAACGGTGTATTTGTCTTAACACCTTTCTGTCAACTCAATAATTTGTCAACTACTTAAAAATATCAATCATATATATTCAACACTACCATTCGTTAATAGTTAACAGACCTTGTTGACAATAAATGTATATTCGGTGCGTGGAATACCACCCGCGTGAAAATAACATCGATTGCGCCTGATTAAAGCGTGATTTGGATAATTTGGAGAAAATTGGGTCCATGTGGCTTAAGACGATTTCAGCCGCACGATTTGACGCAGCTGAAATGCGTGAACTTACTGACTTCATTTCTTTCAAAAGATTTCGAGGTGACTAACAATAATTCCAAAAGGCTTGAGTCACCAGAATTCAGTGATTTCCTTTACGTCTGCAACATTCCGAGAGGGTATCATTGACAAAAAAAAAACGTGATTTTTCGACGTTTTTTCACTAGTTTTATCGGAAAATCTGAAGAACTGCTGAGACGATATTGTTCAAAATGTAATCAGTTCTAAGTGACATGAGCACACATCGATTGCGTGGAAAAAAATTTCAATCGAATCATTCGTTTCAAAGAAATCGTTGACCAAAATATTGGTCACATACGCACACACACACACACACACACACATACACCCATCCAAAAACGTCATAGAATTTTTCCAGGGGTCATGAAACATGGAAATATGATGAAATATCCACATTCGATCTTCGGGGTCATTACAATAACTTCCTCCCTATGGGTCGGGAAGTTAAAAAAATAATGCAAGAATTTTCTTGAGAAAAAGTGCTCTGATAGAAAGGATTAATTATCGTTAACGAATAGATTTGGTTGGAGACGAGGGTCTATTCGGTTTCACCAAATGTTCATTCGTTAATAGTTAGCAAATGCACATTTAAGGAGCCTTGTTCGACTCGATTTTCACTTGTCAAGTGAACCATTCGTTAACTATTAACGAATATTCTTTTGGTCATATTCAACTCTACCATTCGTTAATAGTTAACGAATCTCGTTTGGAATAAATGAATCAGTTTATCAGTGTGGTATAATTCTATCATAAAAAGTTCATATACGTCGTGGAGTTCGGATCGAAATATTTCGACAGTGGTCAGACGTTTCTCTGATTGGTCAGAATAGAAAGCGCAAGGTCAGGTATTGATTGAATGTAAAAGAATTCAATGTTTGAAGTGATAAGCCACGTCTTGTAGGCGCGTGAGTGAGAACGTGCGAGTATGAGTGACCGAATTTACTGATATTTCTGGTACTTCTTTTTCCAGTACTGGGAAATTTTCATCAAGTAACAGTTCCATTGAGATTCCAAGGGATTTCGTAACTGAAAATTCACCGTGTGATGAGAAAATCAATAGAAATTTTAAATTTCAGTTGGGAGCTCTCGTCTTCCTGCTGCTCAGAAATTTGAAATGCCATTGAATTTTCAGTGAAATTTGGAATCTTATAATTTTTTCCCTCAAAACGAATTGATTGTCGCTCACCTGAAAATTCTAGGAAACTATCCATGAAATTTCAAATTTTCGAACAAGGCATATCGATATTGTTGTTATATATTAATAAAAAAAAAATACTTCTGCCCGAAAATTATAGAGCCGCGTAAGAAATATTCAGTCATGTTGAATCATTTTATTTATACAATCAAGGGAATCTCGACCAGAACTCGATAATTTTCGTAAAAATGATTGTTTTCTTAAGAACTTAACATGTCTTCCAGGTAGATACCTTCGTTCTACATAGAATTATGTGAAGGTCTGATTATGACAAGTAAATGTTATTGACAAGAGTATTTATTTTTACTGTGTGGAATCCCGCACAGTTCTAAGGTTTTTGGCGGGAGTAATTTTTTTATTGTCCAAATGATATTCTTTCATCAGCTCCATCAAACACTTTAATGCTCTCATCATTTTTTGCATAATCATGACTTTGCTAGATTAAGCATAACTTAGCAAAACAGTCATCCAATGAAGACTGTTTACCTTGGGCTCATTTATTTGT